TGGGGGTGAATTTCTGTGAGGTTTGTCGCAACAGTTAATATGCTTCACAAATGTTTCCTACGGTTATTTGACTTTCCTTCTACCAAAGCGCAATTGTGAATTTTTGATTAATTTTTTCACCAAAATCTCCCATTTTCTTATGGCAAAATTTCGGTCAATTGGGGAGTTAAGAGCAAATGAATATTTAGCTTTCGAACGATTGAAAAAGTTATTATTAATAGGATTTTTCCCCTATAAAAGATACACTTTAATATGGGTGGCCGCTTAGTGACCTATGTGACATTGACACACCCAGTGACCCAACATAGGACATTCAAGCTTTAGAAGCAACAGCGGACGTTATTTTGACAAGTAAATTTGAAAATACAGAAATGTCACAACTCACTAGAGACTGCTGAATTTCCGCGGCGAAATTATTAATAGCTGCCTCCGTGGCTGCTTGATTGATGGGTAGATCTTCCACATGGGCCTCCAGCTCATTCAATCGACGAGTGAGGTTTTCAATCTCCAAGTGGAACTAAAAACAGCAAAAATGATATTCTTTATTTGTTCTGCACAAAAAATAAGCTACAAAACTTGCTCGATTTTTCAAGCTTCACTTGACTTGTTATTTGCATTTGTTGGATCATCCCACTTTGAAAAAGCCGGTTTGAGAGGATGGGATCTTTTCAGACAAAAATCCCCCCAAAAAAAGAATCACAGCTTTATTTAAGCACTAAAGAGCTGAAATTTATCAACCTTCCTTTTTCTCTTCACCCCTAAGTAATAACGCATTTACTGATAATTTCTTTAGGAAAGACCAAGTTTTGCGTTTTTTAAATATGTTTGGGAGGGAATAGTTTTAAATTGTGAAGAAAATGCCCAACTTTACCAGATGATAGCGTTTGGCGTGTTTGACATGCGTCTGCAGCATATGCTCCAAATGTGTTATTTGCTCCCAGGAGTTGTCCACCTCCTCACTGAGTTGCTAAAAAACAAAGAGGTGTATTTGTCGCAGTATTTCGAAAA